TCTGCAATCAGAGTAAGCAGAGAGAAGAGCGGAATAGAATGGACACTGCTTACTATGATTCTGCGATGAACAACTTTGACACTCCACTCCAAGAAGAATTTCCGTATCTGTGTCTGCTGGACTTGATGCAGGATTTTGAGGGCCTCAGTGTTTGTTTCAATGCTCTCACGCCAGATCATCAGATGGAATCTTGTTGTGAAGGAGGAGGAGGAGGATGTAGGAGTAGGAAGGAGGGGGAGGAGGAATAAGGCAAAGGGGAGGGAAGGAGGAGGTATGAAGGGGGAAGGGAGCAAGAGGGATACCTGGCAGTGGTGGGAGCGACGAGCCTGTTGGGATCTCGATCAATCTTGGGGGCATCGACGTGCTCAAGAAGAGCTTCCATCCTCTGCGTCTGCAGCAGCCGGTGAGACAAGGAGGGGAGCAAGAGCAAGGGTAGGAGGAAGACCTTGATCCGCTCTTGCTCCTCCTTCCTGCGGATCAGGTTGATATGCTCTTCTGTTTGCTGGTTCCGACATGTCAGGGATGGAGGGGGAGGAGAGTGAAGCTGCCAACCTTCTTGTTCCTGACTCTGATCCGCTCCAGCTGCTCGGCAGAAATCTGTTTAGATGGTCAGAACACCAAATGAACTTCGGAGAGGATGGAGGGGGGTACCTTGGACTTGTTCTGCTCTTGCTGAAACTCTTCCTCTCTCTTCTTCGCCTCTTCCTCCGCCTGCGATCAAATCGTCGTCATCATTTACACTCAGACGTTTTGTGAGATCGCAACTGACCTTCTTGCTCTTTTTGTAGTTCTCCACTCTCATCACCTTCTCCAGCCGTTCCTTTTCCTTCCTCAACTTCTCCCGTTCTGCCCGCTCCCTCTCTGCCTTGGCCTCCTATGACTCATGTCAGCAAGCACACACAGCAGCATCTGCTACATCACCTCCTCCTGCTTCTGCAGCCTCTCGTTCTCCTTGCTCTCCTTCCACTTCTGTAACTTCTCCTTCACTTCCTCTCTCGACACATCAGCATCCCTGCTTGAGCTCTTGGCCGACTGGGGACGGCGAGAAGGCGCCTCCTCCTTGGTCACGGTTGTGTTGGTGCGCTGCTCTTCCTGCTCGTGCTGCCTGTTCGTCCTCCATGACCTGATGGCCTCACGCTTCTTCTCTAGCAGCGTCAGGTACCTTGTGTACCACAGCTCGTGCCTCTCGACAGATGCAAGGTCATGGTCGGGGAGGTCATCTGCCGTCTTAGCGCAGTAGATGTGCGGCTGGCCTTTGAACTGAGTCCGGTACCGCAAGAATCTCTCGTGATCCGCGTCGTCCCAGCCTCCTGTACTCCCTCCTTCCTCCTTGAGGATCCGATCGACAGCAACGACCTCGGGCGGGAGCAGGGGTTGGCTCAGCATCCTTCCTATCTTGCTCTGCACCGGCATGGCTTCCTGCTTGGAGGACAAAGAGGCTCCTGCTGTGGAGGGTCTTACACGGTTATCCCCGTCCGAGGTCGCCCATTCCTGGATCGACCTCTCTAGCGCCGCCAACTCGGCATTGAGGGTTTTCTCCTCGCTGGTGAGGAACTCCAAATGCTCCTGCTCCTGATTCCTCACCAGATAGATCTCGTTTTCAATGCTGTCCATCGTTCCCCGCAACCTCTCGATGTACTCGGGCCCTCTTCCTCGCGCCTGGATCATCGACCGCAAACTATCCACGTTCTGCCGAACTTGCGATAGCTGGCCCATGAGCAAAGCAGCTTCCTCCTTCCTTTGGCTGGGAGCAAGAGAAGCATGTCAGCTAACTCCCTATCGCAATTCAACCTCTAGCTCCACCTCGCCAGCTTCCTCTGATGCTCCTCCGCCTCCGTCACCTATCAGCCTGTCAGAACCTGCCCATACGACAGCAGGCAGCATACCTCCTTGCCCAGTTCTCCTCGCATGTTGTTCAGAGATGCGTCTCTGTGCTTGTGAGCAGCCTTCGATCTCGTCCATAACTGATGCGCCTGCGACAGGTCAGGCCCAATCCTGTCACGCTTTGGACTTCCGCACATGCGCTGTCCATGCCGCAACCTTGTCCTCCTCTGCTGTGTGCCTGCTCCTGTGGGCAGCTGCGACGAAAAGAGTCAGAGAGCAAGCAAGAGCAGAGGAAGGGAGCGGTGATCTCTTCTGTTACCTGAAGGTGTTGATATCGCCCGGTTCATCTGCTCATTCCGCTTCCTGCGCCTCACTCCTCCTCGTGGTCTGCGATGATGGTCAATTCAGTTCGCGCCATGGCAGTGCGACCCTCTCATGCTTTCTCAGCATGCAAGGAGAGTGGTGGGGTCAAGAGGTTCTGGGTTGCATGAGCGCATCAGCATCAAGGGGCATGTGTCTGATAGATCCTGTCCCATCAACTCCAACGTATGTCGAAAGCCGAGCAGTACGACTACCTCCTCCTCCTCCTCCTTTACATTCATCCTGCTCCTGCCTAGCTCACGTATCAATCTTCTGTGCGTTCATGATGATCAGATCCATCTCATATCTGTTTCAACTCGCGCATATTTCATTCAATCCCCTCCTCCATTCTGATCCCTCCTTCCCGCCATTCCCTATCACGGTAGTACCCTTGCGCCTTGATCCCATGGGTGGGGTGGTTGTTCGCCGTCGGATCCAAGGGAGGGGTAGGCAATCTGAAGCAGGCTCGCCTCCGCCTGAGTCTGCCACTGAGGGCGCGCCGCACCGTCTGCGGCCCGGGCGGCACCGTCACGCGGCACCCGGGACCCGGGCGGGCGCCGTGACCCGGCCGGGCCGGTCACGTAGTACGGTCCGACCGTCCGTGACAGTGACGGTACGGTCACGTCTCTGCCCCATGGCCGGCGGGGCCGCCGCGCCAGTCTCAGTCAGTGACGACTTCAATCCGACGGCGGCGGACCGGCGTGATATGATCATCACGGTCCCGGAGTTCACGCCGGTCACCGGTGGGTCCGATCAGCGCCGGGCATCATCGCCGGACGCCCGGCCGGGATGCGCGGCAGTGCCCGCCGGCGCTGTGACATACTCAACCGTTTGAGTAAACTTTCAAAGCCTTGCTTGAAGCGGAGGCTCCCGGCCGGGGACTCCCCGGCGACTCGGCGACTCCGAGTCCGGCGAGTCGAGTCCGCCCCGCCGCCGCCTTACCGTGCCACGGTGATAAGTGATTGGACATGATGGGTTAAGTTAGTCGGTCCTAACTCGGAGATACTAGTTGATAGGGGAACCGTCTCCGTGTGAAGGGCGCATCTCGGTGCGCCGCCTATCGAAAGGGAACCGGGTTAAGTATTCCCGGACCGGAGGGCGGATAATGCATGGCAACATACGGTTGAAGCGGCTTGAAGTCCCACAGCTCTGAGGCGGGCCTGTGCGGGAGCCTACGCCCGGCGCCGCAGTGACCGCCGCATCCGTACTAAACTTCGCCCGGCGGCGCTGCAAGTAGCCTAGCCTAGTAGGCCCCGGGCCCGGCGGCGCCCGGCCGCTGAGTCGGAGCCGCAGTGTCCGATCACGTCACAAGGATTTTTGTATCAGGCTGATCCCCTTTTCAGCTGACAGTGAGCAATTCCCGTGGGCTGGGCCACTGAGCTCCGAGTCTCGACGGCCCTCAGGCTAGTATCCGTGGCATCACCAGGCTCTGCACCCGGGCCACCCGCCGCTGATGTTCAAGTTTCACAAGAGATGAAGTCAGGGTAGGTAGTCGGGTTTCAGGAGTGGGCGAGAATCATAAAAGTCTTGGGCATTCTGGTAGTGGAATTGATCGGACGCTGAAAAGCAATCCGATTTCGATTGCCCTTAGGATTCGAACGCGTGGTCAAACAGCACCCGGCACCTGAGCACTTACGGTGGTAGTCATTCAATGCGCCAGAAAAGGTCCCCATGCCCGATGACTTCGCGGAGGCGGCGCAGCGGCTGATGGCAGGCATATGGATCAGTGAAGGGGAGGAAGCCAGGAGGAACGAAGGAATCGGAACCCGGGAAAACTGAGCAAAGAAGGAAGGAAGGAAGGAAGGAAACCAGGTACGGAGGAGAGAGTTATTCTACTTCATTGAATCACCAATAAACACCCAATCAACATCCAACCAGCACCCAACCAGCACCCAACCAGCACCCAACCAGCATCCACACCCTGTTTTACAGTTCAACGGTTATGCAGCTGTTTACTGACTGAGGAAAGAAAACCGAACCGGAGCAAACATTATTGAATTGTAAAACATAATATTAAAATTCTCTTGCAGATTTTCAGTATCTGATTTGTGGTCCCTTTTCGAGCCCTCATACAGCCCCCTTGGAAGACTTAATAAACCTCTGCATATAAACCTTAAACAGCCAGATAAATGAAAGAGGTGGAGAGAGAGTGAGCAGTCGAGAGGGAGGGAGGGAGAGGGAGAGAGGAGAGAGGAGAGGTCGAGCGATATATGGGAGGAAGGGGGCAGAGTACCCCTTCCTCTGAGCTGCAGAGGTGGGGTTATCTGAGCCGCTGCCAGAGTCTCCCGCCGGCCTAGAGAGTAACCAAGATGAAGAGATCAATCACAACAAGCCATGTCAAAGCAGAAACAGAGTGTCAAGAGGTGAGGTGAGGATGAGAAATGGAAAGCGAAGGAAAGTGAAGGGAAGTGGAAAGCAAAGGAAAATGTGCATCGCACCGATGAGTGAAGTGGAGATCAGGTGGAAGCGAGTGAACACGCCTCAGAAATAAAGGACAATTTCCTTAGGAAACGAGAGGACTGAGTTGAACTGCGAAGTGGGATAAGGAAGGACAATAACTTTGTACCGATAAAGAGAAGGGGATATGATAACGTGAAGTCTTCAAGTAGCACCAACATTGAACTTGATAAAGATGAAGATTGATTCCAAGTGGTACGAGTAGGTGTGCAGAAAAAAAATAACTTTTGACTTTTGTGAGGTAGAGCTGTGGTAGAGGGTGATGGGAGATGTGAAGTTCGAACTGGTCCACTCCACAATTATGAACTTAAACAGAACCATCTCCTGTTGCCCATGACAATTTATCTGCTTGCAGGCTTGAAAGATATCCAAATAATCTGATTCGCGTTCGCATTTCTCTCAGCTATACTCGTGGCATCAAGAGACATTGATTTGAACTTCAGCACTTCTACTGTCCATTATGAGGGGATTGAATTTTTTTCTGGAAATTTTGCTCATCCTCCAGCTCTTCCTATCCTTCGAATCTGCGCTTCGATCCGTTGAGACAGGAAAGTATGCTAAGCTCAAGAGCCGTAAGTCGCGCCAAGGCACTGGATCTCCTCTATCTCTACGCTTGAAAGGCGGAGAGGACGAGGCAGAGAAGAAAGTTGAATTGAACTCTGTGAGTGTAGTTTTCTGTAATTCACTTGTCAATTTCTTGGTTTACTGCCTTGCGCGCTTTACCGTTGCAACTCCACTGTTTCTTCTGTCACCGTTGCTTTCTCCACTCTCATTTCCTTTCCCATCTTCCTCATGCTTATGCCCAAATCCTGATGCTTTTGTTCACAACCTGACTCTCCTGCGTTCCTCTCACTGTGTCTTCCAGACCGCAACATTGAAAAAGCAGCGCGACAAGATCAAAAGTAAGAGAGCAAGAAAAAGCAGAGCAATGCAGCAAGACAGACAGGATGAAAAGTCAAAGGAGAAAGCAAGACCAAAAGGAACAAGACAGCAATACAGGCGAGATGAAGAGAAAGAGGAGAGCAAGACAGACGAAATGAGCATACTGGTGGAATCTATCTCACAAATCCAGCGCCGGATCGAGATGTGCCAAGACCCGGCAGAAAAGCAACGGCTGACCAGTCAGCTTGAGAGGAAGGAGCTCGAGCACAAGCTCACGCTCGAGAGGAAGGAGCTCGAGCACAAGATCGAGATGTGCCAAGACCCGGTAGACAAGCAACGGCTGACCAGTCAGCTTGAGAGGAAGGAGCTCGAGCACACGGTCAAGCTCGAGAGGAAGGAGCTCGAGCACAAGATCGAGATGTGCCAAGACCCGGCAGAAAAGCAACGGCTGACCAGTCAGCTTGAGAGGAAGGAGCTCGAGCACAAGCTCACGCTCGAGAGGAAGGAGCTCGAGCACAAGATCGAGATGTGCCAAGACCCGGTAGACAAGCAACGGCTGACCAGTCAGCTTGAGAGGAAGGAGCTCGAGCACACGGTCAAGCTCGAGAGGAAGGAGCTCGAGCACAAGCTCACGCTCGAGAGGAAGGAGCTCGAGCACAAGATCGAGATGTGCCAAGACCCGGCAGAAAAGCAACGGCTGACCAGTCAGCTTGAGAGGAAGGAGCTCGAGCACAAGATCGAGATGTGCCAAGACCCGGCAGAAAAGCAACGGCTGACCAGTCAGCTTGAGAGGAAGGAGCTCGAGCACACGGTCAAGCTCGAGAGGAAGGAGCTCGAGCACAAGATCGAGATGTGCCAAGACCCGGTAGACAAGCAACGGCTGACCAGTCAGCTCGAGAGGAAGGAGCTCGAGCACAAGCTCACGCTCGAGAGGAAGGAGCTCGAGCACAAGATCGAGATGTGCCAAGACCCGGCAGAAAAGCAACGGCTGACCAGTCAGCTTGAGAGGAAGGAGCTCGAGCACACGGTCAAGCTCGAGAGGAAGGAGCTCGAGCACAAGCTCACGCTCGAGAAGAAGGAGCTCGAGCACAAGATCGAGATGTGCCAAGACCCGGCAGAAAAGCAACGGCTGACCAGTCAGCTTGAGAGGAAGGAGCTCGTGCTTGACAAACACAGGGCCGAGGTCCGGGAGGAAGAGGCAGAAAGCGCAATTTGGACAGAAAAAACCTTGAGTCGTGATCTGGTGGGGCACAGGGAGGCGAACAAACTCTTCTTTCTCGATCGATCGCTGTTTGATCCAATCAGCTCGTCACAAGCAGGGGTGCGTGTGCTGTACTGCCGAGATTCCTTCAATGAGCAGTGGCGTTTCCTTGACGACCGGGTGTGCAAGGCGGGGTGTCTGGGTTGGATTCTAGGGCCTCCGGGGACGGGGAAGACGACGACGACGATGTCCTTCATGCAATCGCGAGGCATGGAGGAGGGATGGAGGGTGATATGCTTTCGGCTGTGGAAGTGGGGAATTGTCGAATTCTTACAGGTTGATGATGGCGTATTGAGAAAATGTGAGATGCCTGCCGACAATGCGGGGGCTTGGATACCGAAATTTCTCAGAGAACGGGCACCGAGCGGGAAGAAGACTTTGGTGTCTATAGATGGTTACCGACAGGGGGAGCAAGCACATGGATTTGTGCTGAGTGCTTGCCTGTATTGGGTTCATCGTGAACTGGAGAATCGGCGGCTTGTTATCACAACGTCGATGAGCTCTCGAGCAAAGAAGAGTTCCGAGCAAGATGCGAATGAGAAGGTCGAAGAAATGATGGTGTATTCGTGGACAATGGAAGAGTATCTGGAAGCCTGTAGGTACGACGCGTTCTATAAGAGTGTGGCTGATGTGATGAAATGGAGCTTGGATGAAGAAGAGGGAAGCATGGATGAAGGCGAGGGAAGCATGGATGAGACAGAACAAGAGAGAAGGTCGAGAGAAATCGAGTCAAAGTATCAGATTGTAGGAGGCTCATGCCGATATATGTTTGAACGTAGGACAGATGAAGCGATCCAAGAACTCCGTGACGGGATAGAGGCTGTTCCTGATTTTGCGTCCCTGTTTGACATGGGGATGGGAGAGCGTGCAAACAATGCTGTGAATCGCCTGCATGGGAAGTATCGTGTCGGAGACGAGGTGCACTGGACGCTTGTCAGCAGGTTTGTTTCCATGGAGCTAGCACAGAGGCTTGGAGAAACGTTTGTGAGGAAGATTGAAGAACTCGTTGACGCAACTGGGAATCCGACACTTCGGGGTTGGTTGTTTGAGATGCTGTTCTTTGCTCGGATACGAGGGGCAGGGCTGCAGCTTACCACGAGGTCCGTGACAGTCGACGATTGGAAAAGATGTAACGTGATAAGGCTGGAAGCTATGCAAATCCATAAGCTGCAGGAAAAGACAAAAGTAGCAAGGGTGTGCCTGAAGCCATTGAAATGGAATCAGGGGGGCTACGATGCAGTGATTGTTGACTGGAGTGAAAAATTTGTGCGCTTTGTGCAGGTAACGACTAGGCAGTCGCATGACCTCAAACTGCGATACATGGCAAAGTGCCTGCAACTTTTGGGCATTGGGAAGGAGGAAGGCTGGAAGGTGGAGATAGTGTTTGTCGTTCCCGAGGAGATTCTCAACAGCTTCAGCGTGAAGAATGTGGAAAATAAAGGCATTCTTGCAAGGTACGGGTGGACCCGCGGCAATGAAGCGATCGAAGCGCAGGTGTTTGGTATGGATCCCAGAACGCGACGGTAGACCGGCGACATTGATGAGGAAGTTGCCAGGTGAGTCGCTTGATGCCTGACGTGATGGGTTTGCATCGTGTAATGGAAGGTGCACAGGTTGCAACCAAACCAAGCACATGCTTAAACGACCTCGGCTGGATAACGCATAGTTGCCAAGCAACTTAGTTTGATATCAACTTCATTTAGGAAGCAACACAACCAACACAGAGGTTCTTTGGTCACACTAGACCAATTGCTCTGCTCCTATATCCCCCCCAGTTGCAATAGCAGGAGAAGGCTTTCTATGTACAAGCCAACAACGGCGGCAGTATTCTGTTGTGCATGTTGTGTTCTAGTAAATGCAGCATTGACTGTTCTAGTTCACTATGTGACTGCAGAACATTGTCCTCAAAACGAGAGGAGTGCTTGATGGCAAATTTCTTTCGTCAAAAATGGAAATGCCAGTCATGGAGAATCATACTGTGGTCGAGAAACAACCATGCAGAATGGTAGCAAGATGAAGCTAACGTCCATTGTCATGTGCTGCCCGAGTGACAAGCAGAAAAACTGTATAAAAAGTCCATTTGACAAGCAGAAAAACTGTATAAAAAGTCCATTTGTCGTTGTGTAATAAGCCTACACTCAACTATCTCTGACTTGGACAGGTTCAACAGAGTGTAAAACATCGGTTCAGGTGGGGATTAGTGCACTTGAATGATCTTTCATCGCATTCAGAATGTAGAGATGAAAATGCAGTACGAATCGACAATGATTACCGATGACAAAAAGAACTGTTGAATCTGTTTGATGAACTTCGACATGCTTGCAATATGTTCATAGTATGAAAATGCAATCGAATGAAGTGTTCAACACACTCAACATGCTTCCATTGCCATCTTTGGGTTTAGGGTTCATGACTTTGGCGAGGCGACCAAATCACATTTTCATATTACAACATGATGAATAACTCATGATGTTACAACTTTCTCGTGAGTCATATACTTTTAGAATGATCTTGGTTGTGATTCAAGTGCAAGAAACATGTTAAAATATCAAGCTACATCCTCATCATCAGCTTTCCTGCGACTACCGCGCGCCATTGTTCGGCAGTAAATAGACCCCCACCACATCTCCAAATACCCCTACCCTATATTTTGACTGCTTTGTGCTTTGAAGCAACCGGGACAAATCAAAGAGCGATGGACCCCTACCCTATTAATTTCCCTAACCCTAAGAAAACTTGCCGAAAATCAAGAAAACGGCAAAAATCAAGGTCTGCAATTTGTGTCCCCGAAATCTTCAAATACCAATCTCGATGAATTTCAAATGCAATACACAGTACAACGATCCTCTCATTAGAGGCTGTGGCTCCATAGAACAAGACCTGATCGTGTACGCGCTCTTTCCTGTGCGGCAGCATTTGTGCGAGGTGAATGCAAATGGTGTGTGCGTACCCAACGGACGGACCCTGGACTGGGCAGACTTTGCAGAGCCTTCAAGCAACGCAACGAAGCTATCAGACTCATGCAATGCTGGGAGTAGCCCTGGGATCCGAAAGTCTTTCGGAGTCCTCGGGTACGGGCCACATGTAATGTATCTGTTACTACACCCCGGCCTGCGTTCGCGCTGTCCACAGCCTTTGAATTGCCTTGCAGTGGTGAAAGCTGCAACTCTGGAGTCCGAGCAGCCTCGCCAGCGTCTACAACGGTGATTGCAAACGGTGAATCGGTGGACGATTGCATCGTTGATCATGCCGTCTTTGGTGTACATGGAGAGGTTGGCCAAGTCCATGTTCGAGTAGATGCAGAACCGGCCGCCTACCGTCGTACGAGCTTTCAGTACGGTCGGTGACTTGGACGGATTGTTCACGGTTAGCGATTTAGTCGATATCATTGTGGCGAACGTCATGAAATAAACAAGTTGCTATGCCAGTCTGCGGCCACTGAACGGTCACTGCCGCTTTGCGACTGTGCCAGTCGGTAGCCGCTCAGAGAACAGCCGCCCTCAGGGCCTAGACTAGTCTAGTATGATGGCCAAGCCTGCCCTGCGGCGAGGCTTGGGCCGCGCGTCCGATTGCCCCGGCCAGCCTTGTGTGCCTGAGGGTCAACCGATGGACCGGGATGATGCCCGGGCCCTCTCGCGTAGAGAAACTGCTGATCATAGGCATGATTGAGGAGGAAAGTGTGAAGTTATTTATCAGTTAGGGCCAGTGATGCTGCGCGGCGTCTGTGAAAGGCGGCGGGTGTGACTGAAAGGTAGCAAAACGGGAACCATCACATAAGGCTCGCAAGTTCAATGATTCAGGCTCAGCAATTTCTTAATCGTACAACTCATTAAATCAGCGGCCCTCAGCCTGGCTTGAAAAGATGGCAGACGCACTGGCTCTTCCATAGTGCCTGCGGCACTGAACTCAGTGACCGGGGTACACCATGCTTGCCACTGCAAGCCGGGCCGCCCCGGTTGACGGATGATATGATACTACCGTAGTAAGGATCCGATCATGACGGTACTAGTAGTACGGCCCCGCGAGTCACGGTGCTCTTAAGTTCAGGCTCTGCCCGGTCCGAGTGTCACGAACGGAAGGACTTGACTAGTCCGATAGTATGGCTGGCATATGATGCCATCATCGAACTGATTCTCGGATGTCCGTCGGTACGGTACGGGCCGCCGGGCGCCTCGGTAACGGTGACCGGACCGTACTGTACACGGGCTCGAGCGGCGAGCGCGGCGGGCTCAACTTCTTGCCACTCAGTGAAGAAACCGTCTCTGAGCCTCGGATACAGGATCATTCAAAGACCAGTACAAAATTGTGTGTGAATAAAAAATCCAAGGACTGTCACTGAAAATCCATTTCCAGCGCTGCAACTTGAGTTCAACGGCAATCCGGGGTGTCACCAGGCTGTGACCGTACTTGAATCATGTGACTGAAAAGTTAGATCAGCAGTCACTGTGTTCCTCAGTATTGGCCGGGCTGACTCTCTGAGCGGCCCGGGCCGGCGGGCCGGCCCGGGCCGCCGCGCTGAGTCCCGGCCGCGGGCGGCCCCGGGGCCGCGGTCCGATCATGGAGTCCGAACGGTCCGGGCCGACCGTGTGACGCCCCCGGTGTGACGCCGGGTCCGGTCTGACCGAAGCCCACTCACATTCATGATTACTGAGAACTCTCGAATTGAGAGTTCCAGTCTTGTCTAATGAGGCGGACTTGATATTTACCCCTACCCCATTGAGAAGCAACTTTTTGGTTGGAATATGGGGTACTTTACGCTACTGTCCGACTCTGGGGCGGGTCGTGAAATCCGTAAGGAGGTTTCAAGGGGTATACTACCGGTTCTTACCTCTCAAAATATGTTTCAGAAAGAGGGTGGGGTCCTGTTTTTCCTTTGATCACCGAGGCGGCGGCACTGACTTGTTTTCGTCCGAGCATGGCCAAGGCGTGGATTGCCGCATCGCCGAGGAGCTGATGAGAGGAACGATGAAGGAGAGGTCGCCCTGAAGGTCGCTGCATGATATTGCTCCTGGATCGTGCTGACTTACTGCCTTGAAGGTCTATCTTCCTTACACATTCTTCCTTCGACGTCAACATCATCAGTTTCGTCATCTTGTTGGTTTTCACACGCGAACAGAGACATGGAGTTTGGCTTGCGCACCATCGCGCTGATTCTCTCTAAAGCCTCCTTGCTCGTTTTGGCTTTTGTGTTTGGGCAGATTGGCTTCGGGCACCTGTTCAAGGAGGACGGAAGTAAGTACCTGAAGAGAGAGCATACCGTTGCAAGTGAGATCTGGTGGATCCTTACATGCGTTCTGCAGATCTCAGTACGATGGGGTTCACCTTCAAGCCCAGATGGGAGGATTCGAAGGAGAGGCAACTTCTCCTGCGCCATTTTTGTGCTATCCTTGGTGCTTCCCACATCGCGAGGGCCTCTGCATGCGTGCTGTCAGCGTTCGTCGGAGGAAGCGCTGTCACCTGCTGCCTTTTGGCAGAGATCATCTTCCTCATCAACACGCTGTATGCGTTCGAAACGTTTCCTGCCGGCACAGGAGCCAAGGGGTCGCCCAAGAGAGGTCTGGATATGATGACCGTGCTACCACCATGTCTCACCTCTGGATGCTCAGGTCCCGGGAGTCTCATGCAGACGATGCTGGTGATAGCGACAGCAGGCATGGTTTGCAACCTCGTGTCTCTTTCTTGGAGGAGAACCTTGAAAGGAGCCAAGGAAAGCTAGCCGGGCAGTGAGCAGCTTGGGACGGCGGTCAGCTGGCAGCTGGTGTATTCTTTCTTTTTCAGTTACGAGCGAATCATTGGGGTTGGCTCTGCTAGATTTGCCTTTGAGAATGTGCTTCATGTTCTCTTTGTGCTTCTGTTTTATTATTAGAAAACCTCTATACCTACCTTAGCCCTGACTTACGGCGATGCAAGCTGTGACGGTAGGGCACAGCAGTGATGAGAGTTTGCAAATGCACGGGTTCAAAGCAGCGTCTCTATCATCCTGAAGTGTCATTCCCTTCAAGTTGATCGCATGGTACAAATCATTCACATGCAGGCTCATGAAACAACATGCACAGCATAACTTGTCTTCAGTTCAAGTTTCAAATTTCTAGTTCAGTCCACTCTGAATGATGGCTCCCTCCTTTCCCACTGCCTGTGTGCCCATGCTGCATTTGCATGTTTTCAAGAAGACTTGTACATTCTAGGTGCTGCTTTATCGTCCTGAAATCCATTCATCCTCCCCTATTCCTGTTCGCTTGATCAATCCAAGGGCGTTTGCACCTTCGCCCTCGTTTCACCTTGAGATAGAACATGCGGGGACAATTCTGATATGTTTCTACATGAAGCATGGATGAGAAAACAAACAAATGACAATAGAACAACTGCAGTACTTCTATCCTTGCACTTGCGAAATTGCCTGATTTCGAATTTTTCACAGTCACGTTCAGTCCCGCGATCAGCAGCAACTCCTCTGCCAATCTTTGACCCATGACTGACATGCAAGCATCTCCTACTTCCTCCGAACTATCACATGCCGTCCCTCTCTCCGCCTTTCCTTCCTCTTCCGACCCCTCAGCCCAAACCGATGCCTCCACGCTCATTTCGGTTTTTGAAACATGAAGGTGGTGGGGTAGGGGTGATCAGCTGTAGCATTCTAACCCTTACCACTGCCCTTTGTACCCGTGGTCTCAACAGAAAAAGTATGGGCAAATACAGGGGTTATCAAATTTTAAGGTGGGTAAGGGTACAGTTGTACACGATTGGCATGGGGTAGGTAGTTGAAGAGCAGGCGGGAAATGCGAGATGGGACGAATGCGGAGCCATGCAAGGACGCGACGAAGAGAAGGAGGAGAGAGGCGCGTGATCAGACGATGAGCAGTCGATGCGAGCAGACGATGGACAGACGATGATGAGAGCAGTGTGAGGGCGTGACGAGCAGTATATGAGAGCTGGCAGCGGACAGCGTTACCAACTTTGAGTTGCGTGCTTCACCCGCCCTGGTGTACACTGATGAGCTCCTGAGCAAGGGATAACAGTGGGCAACGATGGAGGAAGTGGCTCCTGAAGGAGCTGCCAGGAGCAGGCGAAGAGCTCTGCAGAAAGCATTCGACATGGCGGCAGAGACGAATGAACCAGAGTCGTCTCCACCTGAGGAAGAGAGGAAGGGGAGGAGGAGGCACAGGAGAGCAGATGCTGCGAAGGAGGAGAAGGTGGAGAAGGTGGAGAAGGAGGAGAAGGAGAAGGAGGAGAAGAAGGAGGAGAAGGAGGAGACCAGTGGAGCTGACCCCGCGAAGGGAAGGCGCAGGCGCCGTCAAAGGAGCAGGGAAGCCTCAGTCGAGAGCCAGCGGGAGCCGCACAGCGAGGAGGAAGCAGAAGCAGCGAGCAGAGTTGCATCAGCCGATAGCAAAGTCTCGGAGGAGAGCAAGACCTCCAACGGGCATGCGAAAGTGAAGAAGCACACGTCCTTCCGACCGGAACCGTTGGAGATCCCGACCACGACCCATAGCCATGAGATCTCTCCCGCAGACGAGGGCTCTCCGCGCACCAACGGCAACGAGGGAGGAAGATCAGCGCACGACAAGCAAGACAAGAGGTCGGAGGAGCGGACATCCGAGCAAGCAAGAGGCAGCACTCAGCACGAGAAGATCGTACAGATCGTTGTGGAAGGTACTGACGAGCTGAAACCCATGATCTACCTTAAGCACCCGGTCGTGCGCATTTCACTCCTTGACGCCAACGATGGCAACCCAGTGAAGAAATCTCGGAGCGACAGGAATGCAGTTCAGCAGCATGAGAACGCGACTGACTGCCCGCAGACGCCGATGCGGACGTCCTCAGGAAGAGCCCAGGAGTCAGAGCAGCAGCACATGACGGCGAAGGGCTTCGATCGCGTGCTCCCCATCCTCACTCAGCCGTTCGACTTGTCTCAGTGCCTGGTAGAGGGGAAGACGCTCAAGTGCGAGTGGCAGGAGCCGATCGTCTTCAACGAGAACATCGAGTACTTCCTGGGGGAAAACCATGTCATCATGTTCGAACTGATGGACTTCGTGCACAGCGGGAGTGAAGTGAGCGGCAGTGTCAGGGCGGACAACAAGAAGCCCATCTCAAAGGATAGCTTCTGGCAGCATATCGCCTGGTCGTTCATCCGGCCGAATCAGGGGAGCAACGGCTGTATCAAGCTTGAGAGGACTCTGAGACTTCAGCTGTACAAGTACAGGAAGTTTTGGTTCTGGGAAAAGAAATCTTTGAAGTCGGACAATCTTGCGTTCCAGCAATGGAAGTCGAGAGAGCGGAGGTGCAATTGGGTACCGTACAAGAGCACGTTGTACGTGAGCATTTCGGGGATCCCCCTCCCTGAGAGCTCCTATGTCCAGCTGCGGCCCACCATGCCGTGGGAAAAGGAGAAGGGGGAGGACAACTTCGACTTCAAGGAGGAGAGCGAGAACGTCGGGAAGGAGTCGAAGAGGACCTCCATGTATGATCAGAGCATGGAGAGAGCACGGCTCGGGTCCCGATGGATCGGTGCGAGTGGCATGTGGTGCCGGGTACCCAACAGTGTGATGCACAAGTTTGACTCCGACTACCGAGGAGGATACGCCCTCTCCTTCTCGGGCCTTGGGACATACCTGGCGTGTGCGGTAGGGGGGCGGCAGTACTACAACATCCGCATCTTCAACGTTGCCAACGGGATCCTGACAAAGACTTTGAAAGGGCACCATGAGATAGTCTACGACATCGTCTGGAGTGAACATGAGTTCTTGAGCGAGAAGATCGAGGTCGGAGATGTGAAGAGCTCAGGGAGCGAGGGCCCTGCAGACAGCCAGGACGAGGCGAGTCCCCTGATCCTGACGGCATCCGCAGACACCACTGCCAAGGTCTGGAGCTTCGAGTCGGAGTCGGTGATCGCTACCTGTCACCACCCCTCCTACGTCTACTGCGCCAGGTTCTGTCCGGGGCCCGACGGGAGCAAGGGAGGGACTGAGAAGGAAAAGTCTATCCAGTCAACTTCGTACGTAGTCACGGGCTGTTTCGACAAGAACATCCGCCTGTGGGACGTGAGACGGGAGTCCCTTGACGCCGACGGGTCAGCTCAGGTTCTGCAGATCATCGCCGGCCACTCCTCCCACGTGAACGCCCTGCACGTGCATCCTGTCAAGTCGCAGATGGTGAGTGGGGACGCGACGGGGCGGCTGGTCGTCTGGTCGCTGGTGAACCACTCCTTCGACGTGGTACGAGACATCACGGAGCCAGAGATGTCGTCGGCTGTCAACTGCATCAGGATGGACAGCGCAGGAAAGAAAATATTCGTGCTTGCTCGTGACAACTCCCTGCGCCTTATCGATACGGACCGGTGGGCTATCACCCAGCGGTTTGCGGGGGTCACCTGCTCCACCCAGTCGATCAAGTTTGACCTGAGCCCCGACGGCAAATACCTCATGTCCGGGTCGGAAGATGGTCAGATCATGGTGTGGAATGTTGATACAGGAGAGCAGGTAGGAGATTCTCTTGGTTTCTTATGGCTGCTTCCCTTAACCTGCACTTCCTCCCTCCCCTTGCCCTGACGTTTCCTCCTTCGCCTGCGCCATCCTTGTCCTGTGCATGACGCTAGCAATTCTTGCAAGGATACATAGCTGCCTCTACACCATCTCCCTCCTCCCTCCTCCCCCCTCCCCCCTCCCCCCTCCTCCATCTCACTCTGCCGCAGGACACTTCCCTCGCGTCTCACAATATGCACCGAGTGCAAGGAGTCTGCACGGACGTGGCATGGAACCCAACAGACAGGATAATTGCAGCGTGTTGCTTCAGCCGCAGGCACCCCATCCTCGTCTACAGGTACGAGAAGGAGGCAGACGCGCACGCGAGCGAGGAGATGCCCGACGACGAGCTGCGGGAGGTGCTGGAGGGGAAGTTCAACGGGCTTGCGGAGGCGTTTGCGAAGCTGGATCAGAGTGGGGATGGGAAACTTCAGGTTGATGGATGTTTGACTGAGCTGTTGCCCATCGTTTCCTTCCTTCCTTGGCTCCTCCGTCTTATCCTCCTTTCCCTTTTCTACCTTCATTCTCCGTCCTCCACTGCCTTTGCCTTGACTATCCCAGCTGTCTCCTGTGCTGCTGCTGATCCTTGTTGGCAGTTCGAAGAATTTCGAGATGGAGTCAGACAGATGGAGCTTGATCTCACAGAGGTGAAACGCTGCTCCTGCTCCTGCTCCTGCTCCTGCTCCTGCTCCTGCTCCTGCTCCTGCTCCTGCTCCTGCTCCTGCTCCTGCTCCTGCTCCTGCTCCTGCTCCTGCTCCTCTCTCTTGCTATCTCCTTCCCTTGTTGTTCCTTTCTCGCTCCTCACCATCTCGCTCCGTCAGGCTCAGATTCTCCGCATCTTCAAGACGGCAGCCGGGTCGGATGATGAAATCAGTGTGGACGAGTTTGTTCGCCGCTACGCTCCTGCTGGGACCCTGGAAGCGATCAAGACAGCCAATGCAGTAAAGAGAGCAAAACAGGTTATGATGATGGTGATGGTGATGGTGATGGTGATAATGATGGTGATTGTATTAATGGAGATGATTGTAATTCATGTCGACGGGAGTAATGATGATGATGTTGACACGATACGGCAGAAACGAGCTACAATGGGAGGCGTACAGAGCACACCCAAGACAGCAGCGCTCCTGAGGTAAACCAACCGCCTGCCTCGATGTCTCTTCTGACTGAATTTCAGCCTCTTTGACGACTGAGCATGTAACAACACAAGTGAAATTCGCATGTCAAGTAACGAATAATAATCAATGCATATCTGTCCCCATACTCTTTCCTCCTCCTTTTCCTCCTCCTCCTCCTCCTCCTCCTCCTTTCCCTCCTCCTCAAAAGTCCGGGGTCTCACTAGGAGGAGGAGGAAGCACAATCGCCCAATCTGTCCCGTCCCCGAACTGCAGCTCCCCTCCTGCTTCCACAGCGACCCCTGCTGCCGCCTCCTCTTTCCCCTCCTTCCCGCCCCCGCTCGCCCTCCTCTTCGCCATAGCCGACGGCTCGCTCGTCGCTGGGTCCAGGATGACGATATCGTTCCTCACCGTGTTGAGCGCGAACCTCCGCTCCTCCTCGTACGCGTACTCGCAGCTCATCGCCTCCCCGTAGCCCAGCCGCGTCTGCAGCTGCGTGAGGGAGGACGGCAAGGCAAGGAGACAGCAGACCTGTGCGCAGATAGCGAGGATGTTGCGGATGATGGCGAGAGGAGAGACGTCGTTGGTGGCGCAGATCTTCAGGTACAACTCCTCCTCCTCTGTCCCCACTGCCATCTGCGGAGCACTAGTGAACAGAGGACGTGGGAAGGATCAAGAGGAAAGGTGGGCAGGTGAAGAGGAGGATGAAAATGTGGAGGGAGAGACGAGCTTGGGGTAGAGGGAGGCAGATGCAGAGCAGGAGGGAAGATTTGCTGTAGGGTAAGGAATAAGAGAATCAGGAGGGGGAGCAGGAGCAGGAGCAGGAGCAGGAGCAGGAGCAGGAGCAGGAGCAGGAGCAGGAGCAGGAGCAGGAGCAGGAGCAGTATGCGGAGGAGATGTTGCCTGCGTCAGCATGACATGCCGGACGTTCATGGCGAGGAGGTAGAGAGCATGGCGATGGTGACGAGCCCATTGCTCATCATCTACGATCTCGTTGCCGTTAGGAGGAGAAGAGAGAGGGTACTCCCTCCCTCCCTCCTTTCCTCCCCCGTAGATGACGCAGTGCGACGGCCTGACGTCAACACGGAACGGAAGCGACACGGACAGATACTTGGCGATGAGGACAGTGAGCCGCGAGAGCTGCAGCGACAAGACAAGTCAGAAGAAGAGATTGGAATCAGGGGTGAGGAGGGAGAGAGGGAGAGAGGGGGAAGAGTGAGAGAGAAGGGGGGACGTGGAGGAGAGCGAGATAGAGAGGAGAGGAGATTAACAACGGCTACAGTGAGCAGATCTACCATCAAATCATGGTCTCTTTACCTGCGCCATCGCGTTGCACTCGGCGTCGTTTCTCTTCCTATTGAGTGAGTGCATGTACCTCGGACAAGGCAGCCCCTGGATCTCCGCGCAAGTGCTCGTGACTTTGACCTTGATTGAGGTCAGAAGAGTAGGAGGAGGAGGAGGAGGTAGAGGAGGAGGAGGAGGTAGAGGAGGAGGAGGAGAAGGAGGAGGAAGAGGAGGAGAGAGGAAACAAGAAGTAGTAGAAGAAGATTGGGATGATAGATACGACTATGATGCAAGATGGCAACGCAGATTGAAATATGATGACAATGACAATGACAATGATACAAGTTCACACCTGAAAAAGCTTCACCACTTCATGTACCTTCTGCGCCCTCTGCATGGCCAACTCCGAGACCTTCTCAGCCAGCAAGCCGTGAAGTCTCCTCTCAGTCGAGAACAGCACGTTCTCCAAGATGTGGTCGTGCTTCTGAGAGAGCGTCATCCAGGCTTGCTCCAACCTCCTCTGAGCTTCAAGCTGCTGAAACCTCAGGTCTGCCGCATCGATCCGCCCCTCAAAGATCTGATCGCGGATAGAGGAGCAGCGGTCCTGCAGTATCGCTGCTCCTGTCAGTGACCTTGTTGCCTGGGGTCGACTCCTGTCACTCTTGTCTCTCCTCTCGATCTCACCCGCCAGCTTCTCCCTCGCCCTCGCAGCTCGTTGTGATACCTCCTTGACATGACCTCTCAGCTCCTGCAGCACCTTTGGGAGGCAGAGCTTGCAGTGCCTTTGCTGCCTCGTACTGACATGTCTTTCACACACCAGGCAGGTAGAATCATAACTGTCGTTTCTTCTCTGCATGCCCTTGGCGGTTGACCGCTTGCTTTCCGTCATGCTTCGACGTTGAACAGGGAGACCAATGCTTGCTAATCAGACCACCATGATGTATCTACAAGCATGCAGCTCCTTGCTAGAGCTCGAGCTTCTCGTACAACGCCTGCTGCAACTCGTTTAGCAATTCATTGATCACCAAAGAAGGTAAATAGACAAACAGAAACCATCACAGAGGCCCAAAGGGTATAGTACGATGGATGGATGGATGGATGGATGGATGGATGGATGGATGGATGGATGGATGGATGGATGGATGGATGGATGGATGGATAGTGGGTGGGTGGATGGAGAGAGAGAGAATGAGGGGTCCGCAGGAGGAACAAGAGTAGAAGCAGGAGCAGAGTGCCAGGAGCAGGAGCAGGATCAGAGTGCCAGGAGCAGGAGCAGGAGCAGGAGCAGGAGCAGGAGCAGGAGCAGGAGCAGGAGCAGGAGCAGGAGCAGGAGCAGGAGCAGGAGCAGGAGCAGGAGCAGAGGGTCAGGGTCAGGGTCAGGGTCAGGGTCAGGGGTAGGAGCAGGAGCAGGAGCAGGAGCCATGGCTGGGCTAGCGCTTGTTCGCCATCGGGACAAACGAGTTTCATTTGCTCAACTTTCATTGCTCAACTCTGAAAGTTTCAAACTTTCAAACTTTCAAACTTTCGCAGTATCATATTGGGCTTCAAGTTTGGCCCGGTCCCTCATACAGTTCAATTACCCTCATCCCCACCATGTTCCAAGTGACGAAAATAGCTCTGAGCGCCATGGGCGGAGGAGTGAAGTAGGAGGGGAGGGGGAGAGCATGAGAGCGAGGAGAAGGAGCTGAAATCCAAGAAAGCGCTTCTTTCTTGTCCTCCAACTTGGGTTGTGTAGACTGGGGATCTGAGGAAGAGCTTGTCAGCTGACTGTGATGGAGAAGAATTGAATTTGCAAGGGAACATGGACGTAGAGTTGCAAAGTGTAGAGCAGGTAGCGCCAGTGCAGCGCAGGAGGAGGGAAAGTTCCAGATCCTTTCGTATCATAGCTGTGGCATGCTCGTGTCTGCTGATCTGCGTGTTGGCGACCCTTCAAAATGGGAACAAGGCCGACCTCAGCCTGCGCATGGAATCAAATCTGTATGAAAGGGGGACAGCGATGCAGCTTCTCGAGTCTCTGCTGTCTAACTCTACCGACAACAGCACAGCAACAGCGAACTATACTGTCTCCTCCACAGAAGATTTTGGGAAGAGCTCGGACGGCTGTCCACTCCCTCCCAAATTTCGTACCTACTATGTCAACCAGCTGTTCTGGACCTGGTCTCATACCCTAGAGGTGTCTGGAGTGAAAGTGGACGAGGATGGCAAGGAGAGCGTCGTTCCTCTTGGCCTTGTCAGGTCTCAACCTTTCAGCTTCGCAAGCGAGCAAACATGGCAGGACAACGACGGGAAACTCGTGGCTTCTAGCCATCAGGACGCCATCACTACTGTCACCAACATTTACGTGCAGGACTGCGCTAAGGAGGACATTGCGACCATCTCGGAGCAGATCGCCGCGTCGAGCTCGGCGATCTCCCAGTACACCATCCAGAACAAGGAGGGCGACATAGTCGCCATATCCACCATGAGCCGGAACTTCGGGACAGAGGTGGACATCAACGATCAGTCGACGGGGAAGAGATTCGTTACAATATCCAAGGGATGGGGACAGCTGACTGATGCCTGGTCGGCAACGTTTAGGAAGGGGATGCCGGAGACGCTGGCTAATGAGCCGCGAGTGATCGTGATGCTGCTGGCCGCCGCGAGCTCCGCTGGGTCCATGGGTCTTGGAGGGCCCCTGAGTATCCTCCTTAACCCTCTATGGATCCTGCTCCTGTGCTGCTGCTGCTGTGCATGCTGTACTGCGTTCGCAAGGTGAGAGGAGGGAGGAGAGAGGAGGGAGAGGTCTTGAGTGACGAGAGCCGGACCATCAGGGCAAGGGAGGGCAGGGATTACGAAGAGATTCCTCCAGGAGGAGGGCCGTTCTTCGGACAAGGATATTCAACAGGTTTGAGGAGGGAGGCAGAAGGGGAGGAGTGAGATGCTGATGCTGAGGGTGAACAGGATACGGGAATGCTGGAGGAACGTTTGGGGGGACTCAGTATGTCTAAAAGTGTAGAGGAAAGTGCGTGTTGGCCCTTGTGATTTAGCAGAGCGACGAGGTTGGGATGCCGGGGACAGCCAGGATGGTAGCGTATCATGCTGAGTTGTTGGCGGTGCGAGCGACCTGTCGGGTCGATGTCTAATGCTGAGAATACAAGAGGATGGAGCAACAGGTCGGCTAGCACCTCCTGCCTCTCACTTGGACCTGAGGCTCGCCATGGCTTTCCTTACGCGCAAGAGGGTCTCTCGCAGCTGCTGGATCTGTGCTGAGCTTTCCTCCAACTCCCGGATCACTTCGTTCCTGGTGGGAATCCTCCTAGGAACAGCAGCAGGGGCAGGAGGCTGATGGGCAACAACTGGTTTGGAAGCAGCAGAGGCGACAGGGGCAGACGAGACTGCAGGCACCACAGGCTGTGATCTTTTGATGTACAATTGCGAGCCCGAGCTTGCAGCCCTATGAGCCTGTGTAGAAAGTGAGAGTGCGGAGCAGGCGCAGGAGCAGGAGCAGGAGCAGGAGCAGGAGCAGGAGCAGGAGCAGGAGCAGGAGCAGGAGCAGGAGCAGGAGCAGGAGCAGGAGCAGGAGCAGGAGCAGGAGCAGACCTCGTCCTTCACGTTCTTTTTCAACCATCCAGCTGAGTTGAATCCCTCACACTCAGAGAGAGCATCGCACATCTCCTTCATGAGCTCAACCTGCCGCAGTGAGTTACGGACCTGGCTCCCCGCTCTTCGCTCCTCCTGCTCCTGCTCCTCCCTGCCTGCCCGTGCCTCCCATTTCTTCGCCAGGTACACAGGGCCCTCGTTCTGCTGCATACTACCCTCGCCCGTCTCCTGGTTCACCTTTCCTACCCCATCCTTCCCTCCCCTCCCCTCCCCTTACCCGCATCTTCTTGTCGCTGGTCAGGTCAACCTTGTACAAGTCCCCCCCTTCCGAGTCCACATCCTCGTACACCGCGTACCCTCCCCCCGAGCTAGACCCCAGCTGAGCTCGGCGCGCCTCCTCCCTGCCAGCAAATCAGCAGGAGCCTGGAGGGAGGTGGCGATGACCTTGCAAGGTGGTTGAAGATGGCCGGATACATACTGTGAAACTAGAGAGAGTAGTGAGCTGAAGGATGAGGTAGAGGGAGGAGCGGGGGAAGAGAAGAAGGAGCAAGTTCGAGGGGAGGGCTTGGAAGAGGGAAGAGGGGAGTAGGAGGGAACACGGAAGAAGGGGGAAGGAGGGGAGAAGGAGGAGGGAGGAGGTAGGAGGCAACTCGAACCTGGTCTAGAACGTTGTCTAGTTGTGTGTTGTCAGGATTGAACTGCTCGAAACAGTTTGCCAAATCTCCAGGTTTCCCTAGCTATCAATCAGCTTCCCCCCCACCCCCGCACCTCCCTTCCCCCCTCCAAGGGGAGTCGATCTTTCTTTGGCGTCACTAACCGTAGAGCTCGAAGGTCATCGAGTACTCTACTCCTCGTTTCCCTGCCATGTAGTCCGCAATGGTCCCATCGGCGGTGTAGTCGTTCATGTCGTAAACGATCCCAAGGCCGCTGAAGAAACCTCTCGTAGACGCCCTGCCCCTCACTCAGCCCTCGTGCTCGTGCTCGTGCTCGTGCTCGTGCTCGTGCTCCTCTCCTCTTTCTCCTGCTCCTGCTGCTGCACCTCCTCCTTCCTAAGTCTTTCCCGCGTGGCTGTGCCTCCTCCACCACCTCTGTTTGTTTCCCTTCCTTTTCTATTGCATCCTCGTACTCACTAGCGCCCTACACACCATCCTCCATCATCGATTTCTCCTCTCTTCATATCCTTTTCTTTCACTCACCAGATTTTCACCGCAAGCGAGAGCTCGTCCCGAGTGTTCGAGTGAGTTCGTTTTGAAAGCTTGGACTGAACGACAACAAATCGTTGGAACACAATCTTCGTGCATCACCATCCCCTTCTAATGCCATCCTCCTCCTCCTCCTCCTCCTTTCTCCCCTCCTCCTCCTCCTCCTTTCTCCTCCTTTCTCTTCCTCCTCCTCTTCCTCCTCCTCCTCCTCCTCCTCCTCCTCCTTCTCTCTTCCTTCCTCTCCCTCCCCTCCCTCCAACACCTTCGTATCGCTGTATGGGACGAACACAAACTGAGCGCCAGTATGCATGGAGAGATAAGATTGAATCTGAAGGACAAGAGAACGAGACACAGTCAGACCTCCGTTCCCCTCGCACATTCCTCCGGTACTCCTTCCTCCACCTCCATCCTCCGGTACTCCTTCCTCCACCTCCATCTCTGCTCTTCTCTCTCCTTCCATGCTTTTCTCCTCCATCTCCCTCCTCCCCCATCTCATCGTTTGCTGTATAACCTTAAACTCTTCAGCAGCATCCCTCACAAACCTGGCAGGATGCAACAAGTCAGTCCATACAAAATAACCGCCCCATCCCCCCCTCTCCCCTTCCTCTATCCTTTATCCTCCTCCTCCTCCTCTCCTCCCCCTTGCTTCTCTACCCTTCTCCTCCTCCTCCTCCTCCTCCTCCTTCTCCTCCTCCTCCTCCTCCTCCTCCTCCTCTATCCTGCTGCTCCTCCTCCTCCTGCTCCTCCTCTTCCTCACAACCTGGACTCTGGCTCGCTGAATGGTTGGACTCCTCGAAATTCCTCGTTCTTCGGGTCGGCGCTACTCCCCTTTCCGCCCCATCTGCTCGTGATACATCAGATGTGAAACCGATACCCTCCAGCTCCCATCCTCTTATATCCACCTGCTGTTACATTCCCTCCCCGCCCCTCTCTGTCTGTTTCTCCTTCTCTTCTTCCAGTTCCTCTTCACTCCCTTGCTTCCTCTGATCTCTTCCTCTTCCTGCTCTTCCTGCCCCTGCTGCCCCTGCTGCCCCTGCTGCTCTTTCTTCTGTTCTTCTGTTCCTTTCCTCCTCTTATGTCCTCCTCTCCTCTCCTCTCTTCCTCCTCCACATCCTCAGCACTCACTCCCAATCAAAATTCCGATTCACGTCAACTCCGTTCGACATTCCCCGCCAGCACCTTGACAAGCCAAGTCAACTCTACTACAACCACCAAGAACATTCCACCAATCCTTCTTCGTCTCCAGGTAGTTTCTGCCGTCAGGATTGACCATTCCTATGAGATAAACTTCTACTTCCCCTGCTCACACCACCCGTGAGCTTCATCGGCAGGATTGGAGAAAAGATTATCAAAGACCAAGAATTTTCGAAATCTCCTCCTTCTTTTCTGACAACCCACTGCAAAACTCGTTGACGAGCCTGCAAACATGATCACTGCTCTCCGATTCATAGCTGTTTGCTCAAACTTACTTGAAGAAGCTCTCAACAGGGAGGAACTCTCTCGCATGCTCGCCGAACGTGATGAGCACCCGATGCCTCCTGGTGCACATTGCTTTCATCTTCGTCATCACTTCGATCCTCTTTATCTCCATCATGTTCATCACAGTCACAAAGACGATAATCATCACTCTGCCATATCTACTATAATCCTCACGACCAAGATCCTCTTCCTCCTCCGCCTCCTCGTCGTTATCATCTTCACTATCAATGCAATTGTCATCGTCATCGTCATCGTCATCGTCATCGTCATCACAATCGTCATCACAATCGTCATCGTCATCACAATCGTCATGTTCATCATCATCATCATCGTCATCGTTGCCAATCGCATGCAGGTCAGGCGGCGTACTCTTCGTTCTTTGTGTTCTTCTCTCTCGAGTAGTCCGTCATCTTGAGCAAATGCAGCTCCCTCCCCTCCCTCGACCTCCCTTCCTTGATTATCTTGATGCAAGTTGGATACTTGTTAGGAAGCAACGCCACGTCTCTGCAAGGAGCTGTCAAGATGCGATCCAACGGTCTCACCGTACCTCAAGTATGTTTCCACGGAGTGGTACACGTTGTAGTCGGGGTAATACGTTTTCTTCTCCCCTTCACTCCCATCGGCGCACTGTCAGAGTCATTCAGGGCTGCGGGGTCGATAGAGCAGGACGAGAACCTGGGGAGCGAAGAGGACGAGGAAGAAGAACAGCATGAGAGAGATATTGTGCATGTTGAGGATCGCAGGAAAGAATGTTCTCGAAGCCAACTCCCAACCGCTCTGGCACATCCAAACGCTCAACGGCCCCCCCTTGCACCCTACCGCTCTGGGCGCTTAAGAGGGATCCGAGCCAGGGACATGCCTCCGTTTGACCCACTAGGACAGGGAGTTTCTCTCCCTAGCAAGATCCTCTTCCTATGTCTCCTCTTCCTCTTGTTCCTCACCTCCTCCCCCTCCTCTTCCGCTCTCCTCCTTCCCTAAAGTTCACACCCGGCGGTGCTGCATAGTCATCTCCCGAAAAATGCGTAAAACAAAAAAATAATAACAAAAAAAAAAGCATTGTTGCGATTTGGAAGCGTGATCGTGATAGTTCGAACAGCGATATTGAAGTCAGACATCATAATCAGAGTCGAAACCACAAGCATGTGCAGTATCGTGCATGATTGTGAGAGTATGAAAGTGCTTTCTCATCAGCTTGAAGCATTATCCTTGCACGACCGATTATCGATTTCGTCGCAGCCATGGCAGTCTTTCCGAACAAGGAAAGAGTTGTGATGCATGCTAGTCTACATGTTCTGTCATGAGCTTGCGAATGGCAGGCACTTCGCCGTTCTACCCACCACCAGGCACTCGATGGTACGGCGGCAGACTGCGAGTCAAGAAGAGGAGATGGCCAGGAAACCAACCCTCCCTTCCGTTCTCCCAGGTACAACTTACATCAACTCATATACGACACAACACAAAACTTTTTATAGAAAACTTTGAGAGGTTCAGTTGCTTCGACGAGAGCTTTCCTTTAAGAAATACTTCTGCGCATGCGATCTAACCTGCAGCTCTGTTCGCGTCCCAACCACGCACGCAATGGCTTGAGCAATCCCCGGACCAAGCCCCACAAAAACTCTGCCCTCTCCGTCTCCTGATCGTGAAAGCTCCGCATACGGGCAGAACCTTGCAACTCCCTCCAAAAAACGATTATGCTCCTCCTTGCTCCAACGCATCTGAACGCTCCCTTGGATCTTGGCCTGACGCTTCTTTTGCCTGCGATATTTTGGGACGTTGTCCAGCAAGGGCTCGGGGTGGATTTGAACGGGCGACTGACTCTGAGCAGACGAGCAGTCGCTGTTGTCGTATTGCCTCTCCGCACACTCGTCCTTGGCCATCAGGTACATATCATTCGAAGAAGCCTCGTCGTCCTCCCAGCGCAGCAGAAGCCCCAGGTCTACTTGCGGCGCAAACTCAAAGCAGGATGCAGGGAGCTGGCAGTGCTGGTGGCTCTCTGAAGGAAAGATGGACTCGATAGCGTCCTCGAGGTCGAGCACAGAAGCATGGCATTGTGCCATAGCTCTGTGCCGCGAAACTAGCGGAGGTTCCTATTAAGGAGCGTTTCACGCGTGGCCCAGAGGTCCAGATTCCCAGAACCTGTTTGAAATATATTTCAAATATACATATTTTTAAATGTGAAATTGTCACGATCGTGTCACGGTCTTTTCCGCCCGAGCCTGTCGTTTACATTGGTTGGTATAGGAAGGGTTAGATATTTTCTGAATACCATCATATGTATTGCGGCATAGAATGGAGCTTGGGCTAGGCACATTTACGGTCCGGTCAGTACCCCACCCCCTGATTCTATCGGTGGGCCCCTGTGGGGGTGCAACTGCCCTGCTGACAAACTCGACCACAACGGTTCAAAAACTGGACCTTTGGGAATAAAATTCTCTTTTATGCCATTGGTCCAGATTATTTCAAATTTATTGAGTAAAATTAGTACCACGGGATCTGGGAATCTGGACCTCTGGGCCACGCGTGAAACTCTCCTAAAGCTCCGAGCTGACCGGAGGAAAAACGATAACTCTTCTTTTGGCCGTTGATGTCCGAAACCGCAACGAAAAGATTTGTTTTCGCTCTGGTCAATAAAAAAATTATCCGCACTCCGTCGGGGCGATGCAGTTGTATGGGCCACGTGACATCAGTTACATTGACAGTTACAGCGGATCAGGGTTTGCGCGGCATATCAACGCTGCTCTCCCCAGGGTAACTAAAAGTTTATGGTACAAACACTCATTCCGATTCTCACGAACCTGAGGTAACGTGACTGTCACCTCGGTATGTTCGAAAGAGCCGGATAAACCCGATGATATCTCGAGGTGTACGAATCATTTCACTCAACCAGGTAGCTGCTGGCTCGGCGTCTGTCAACTTGTCAAGTTTTGACTGCTTTACTCCCGGAGTCCGGCGAGGGACACTTGTTGAAAACTTAACTTTGAGTAGTCTACTCAAAGTTAAGTTAAAAATGAGTAAAGCTGTGCTGGTTAAATGTTCATAAAGAAACATCCGGCGACCGTACATTATTGTTAAAACACACAGTACGGTGTGACTGGCCCGGCCCGGCCCGGCCCGGCCGTTCAAGTACGGTCAACCGAGTCACCGTCCGATACGGTCACAGAGTCGGCCCCCGGGCTAAGTAAGTTACTCAAAATTCGGCCCTGAGATATAGTACCGGCGTACTAAGTACTTGAACATCATCACGGCGGCCGCCCAGTGACCGTACGCCGCCGAGGACCGTGACGGCGAGTCACTGCGCGGCCGGCGGCAATCATGGCGCGGCAATCGGCCTCCCGGAGCCTAGGCGCTAGCCTCCGACGGTACTACCCGTACGGTCACGTACGGTAGCCGCTCCGGCCGGGCTCGGAGCCTGGCTGAGTGAGGCCTGGGCGGGCCGCCCTCAGCAGTGACGGTATTACTCGGTATCAGTATGGGCCGCCCGGCGTCACTGGCCGGGCACCGAGTCGGACGGTACGCCGCCGGACGGTACGGTCCGAACTTGGCAACGTAAACCGTTGATGAGTTGCGGCGCCGCCGTGACTCACTGCCACCGGCGGCGACCGTACGGCGGGCCCCGGCCGCGGCTGGCGGCCGGCGGCGCTCTCGGGCCCGGGGCTCCGAGGCCGCTCAGTCGGTCAGCCTGGGCTGCGGCCGCACTGACTCGAGTCCCGGAGCTGAGCCACGATATGATAGTCAGGCTCACCGTCAACTCACACTCAGTGCCGCGGAGACACAGTCCAATTCAGATCTGTGTCAGTACTACTCAGCCGCTGCACTTCGGACAACTTGCCAGTACGGTTATTGTTCAAATTAGTAGTGAGTCGGGAAGCTTGATCCGATGATGCCCCCGGGAGCCTCCGGGGCCGTTGACCGTTGCTGATGGGGCGGCCTGCTACTCTCGCCGCCGATTCCATGCGTAGAGAGGTAATAGCCGCCAAGCCGGAAGGAAACTCTGTCGCTCCTGTGCGAGTAGAGGGGATCGAACTTGGACACTGCGAGCATCAATCAATCAGTGGTGTCACGGCCCTCGAAGTAGCTCAAGCTCATCACTGCATCAGTACATGGGATCGCACGGAGATCTATAGAGACGCGCGTGTACTCGGTCGAGTTCGGCTCGCAGTAATGCACGCACTGATTGCCATAGAAACGGCAAACCTGAAGCCTCACAGTCACTGACATGTAGAGGGCTCGATGTGATCTCCCAAGAGTCTTCACCTCCCCGTACTTCAAGTCGAGGGAGTGAAAGTCCTCCTGCTAACATGTCAGCCCCGAGCTCTCACCCCGTGCACCTGCCGCTCGCTGCTCACCTTGCCTGGCTCCGACTCAACCCATAGACTGTTGGTTCCCCACACCCTGCAAGACACGGGGAACCACCAGTTGACCTTGGAGGAGCAGGCGGGTCAGCCGTGCTCGCAGCTGGGAAGCAGCTCATACCTCTGCTGGCTGATGATGGTACTCGCTGTCTGTGTGCCTCTTTCCAGGGACAAACGGAGAGGGGAAAACGACGCGGAGTGTTGGCTCCCTCTGGTATATGATAGTTTCATTGCCCATCCTGGGAGATATGAAGTCTCGAACGAATCGGTGCAGGAGATCATTGAATCTGCACAAACGATTCTCAACCATCATACAACATTTCAACACTGATCGATCATCATCAACATGGCAACACGGATCATCAACACACGACGAGCATGTCAAGAAAATTTACCAACCATGATCGAGCATAGCACGATGTATTATCATCGAACATATCAACACTGAGATGTGAGCTCTTCACCGCTTTGTCCGGGGGTCTTGTACGGTGCTATCCCTGCTCCAGAACGTCTTCCACTTTCTCAGGAAAGGGTTTGCTCTGCGGCCAGGGCCCCAACCTTGCTGGAACTCCTTGTCCCCAGCCTCCAGCAGGTGCAGCTTCGCCTCCTCAGTCTTGTGAAGTTCCTCAAGAGGCATTCCTTCCACCTCCAGGATAGACTGGATTACCTCTCTCCAGGGGTACTCCCGTACGTCGTACTCGAACGTCGCCTCTTCCTCCAGCCCAGTACCGATGAGCGGCCTTCTGCCGCCTCCTTCCCGCGCCGTCATGAGCGTTAGCAGTCAGCCATGTCCCAACCCCATAGAGCGCGCGCAAGTCCATCCACGCGCCCGCATCAGGCGCCGCACGCTGCCCTGCACCTGCCTTGCTGCCTGCCTTGCATGATGCCGCTGATCTGGTCAGCCATCATACCCGGACTGTTCAATCCATCATCGGTTGCAAACGGTTACATGAGGACCGAACGTTGAACCGTTGAACGGTTTGACAAGCGGGGGTTCGACGGCATGGCAGGGGAGGCGAGCGTGGCGGATCTCGAGCTGGTGCAGAGAGAGACGCGAGCGCTCGAGGCTGAGAACCACATGTAAGTCACTTGCTCCTCCCGTTGCTCCTGTCAGCCCACAGGCTGTACGGTATACGGGCCAGTACCGTACGGTATCCGATCTGTCACACCTCACCGTACTGGCCGGGGATTGGCCGCTCCAGTTCACGGCAGTACGGTACTGCCTTGGTGGCGAGCCGCGGCAGTGACGGCTGGCCACTTGTCAGTGACAGTGACTCAATGCCTGAGTCACCTGAGTGGACCATCACTGGCGCTGACTGACTTCTCATTTTCCTTATTTGTTGTAGGTTAATGCAGGTCATCGCTTCGCTGAATCTCACAGAGCCGGCTGGAAGGGTCGAGGTGGATGCGCCGACAACTGGCAAGCAGAAGAAGAAGGAGAAGGATGCCAGCGCAAGGGCAGTTCCTCTGTCGCTGACTATCAACGAGAAGCTGACACTGGCAAACGGAGTGTCGGACGAGCAGCGCAAGCAGCTCAATCAGATCCGGGCGAAGTTTGACAAGCTGGTCGACTCACTGCAGGCTCAGATAGACACCCAGGAAGAGATCATTACCAACACTATGATGGAGCAAATTCAGTTCAGGCAGAACTTTCTCAAGGATGGTTTGCCTGTGAATCAGAACAAACTGATAGCATACCTTGAGGTGAACCGTGCTCTCGGTCTCTTGCGATGGACATTGAAGGTTTGTGACAGGATACATTGAGGAGGAGAGACAACGAGCTAGACAAGTTGGAGACGAAGAATCGTGGTCTCAGAGCCACTTTGTCCAAGAGCGAGGAGGATCTCAAACACAAGGAGGAAGCCGGAGAGAGTTTGAAAAAGATTGGTAGGAGCCTTCCAACTGCTATTCCTTGCCGCTGACTTGCTGCCAAGATTTTGAACAGCTCCAGATCGAGAACAAACAGCTGCTAGAAAACATTGACCTAAGGAATGCTGAAGTATGTAGCAGCCAAACTCTTGTACTAGTAGCAGTCAAATGCGCAATGGATGGAGCTCGGACTTTGCAAATGCTGAAGGCTTGTTTTCTCCAGGCCCTTTCGCTGAAAGCTACTCTTGGACGAGCGCAATGGAGGCTGAATAAGATCAAGGAAGAGTTGTCGCAAACACAACAGGTCGATTGTTTTCACCACTCCCTACGATTGTCGTCTGTCGTATGTCGATGACAAGAGAATTGCAGTCAACGGATTGGCTGGTCAAGACCGAACAGACCAAGAAAGAGCAGATGGAAAACATTCGCACTGAGCTTGAACATGTCGAAACATTGACATGAATGCTTTATGAGATAGTTGACGCACATGAGCAGGTGCAATTGATGCTGGTGAAGGAGCAGAATGTGCAGAAGGTGATGCGATTTTGGGCTGTCTAGTCTGATCGGTATATGCAGACTCTACAGAAGCAGCTGGAGACATCGAACAATATTCCTCCTGTAATCGAGTACATCGCACAGGCTTGAATCCCCCTGGGGCTTCCACCCGATCCTCACCCATTCGTGTTTAGGGGGATCAGTTGATCAATCTGAAGAAGAAGATCGCGCTCTTGACAACGAAGATCTCTATCGGGGAGGTGAAAAAGCTCTTCGATCAGCTCGCAACTCATCCATCTGCATATCAGGGGCAGCTGAAACAAACGCGTCGAACTATCATGCGTCAGCAGAGTGAGTTGCCTTGTGTGTCCTCCCCAAACCTTCTCGTCCATCTGCCCTCCCCTCCATTGCTTCTCATGTCAACTTCTTTCTCTATCCCTTCCTTCTTGGAACCGATTCGTTTTCCCCGCCTATCCCTCAGCGCTGTAGATTTGAAACTTTTTGCTGATCACTAACAAGTTCGATGATAGCGAACAGCCAGACATTATGAGCACGGAGTGAATAAAACTTGGAGACCCTTTATCTGAATCTCAACTTCGCGCTTGATCTTCTTCTTTTGTACATGAAGGCTATCAAACTGATAAACGCTCGTTGATCCATACCATTAACTGCTTGACTTCATCTGAGCGCAGACTATGTTGCAGTCCAACAAAGGTTTTCCAGTCGATCTGCACGATGGTTACTCTTCTCATCGCTAACTCTCCTCCTCTTGAAGGGGAATGGGCACGGCCCACCTCGGCTCCAGCTGCTTGAATCCTCTTGACACTATCTTCTCCCCACTTGCAGGAGATCATATCATCATCCTCTCCATGCCACTGCACCAGCCTTCACACTCCATTTTGACAACTGCAAAGTCTCACCTGCAACATGGGCATAATCCTCCTCCCCGCAGCCTTGTGTGCTTCTATCATGCCCGGCACCACGGATCTCTCTGACAGAAAAGTCGAGAGAGCAAAGCAACCGGCCTAGAACCGTATCAGAGCCTCCTTGTCCTCCCCAAGCACACTCTTACTAGGCCAGAGCAAAGCTCGTCGTCTGAGATGGCAGTGAACAGCGCTTGTCCTCCTCCCATGGAGAAACCTCCCAGCACAATCCGAGACAGAGGGATTCCCGCGTCTACCTCGCTCTTGATGACATCCTTCACGAGCGCCGCCATCTCCTTCATCCCCGGCACGTCCTCCTTTCCTGTCGGGTCCAGCCGCAGGCGGTCGAACCAGACGCGCTGCATGCCGTAGGGCCCCAGCAGGGAGTAGGCTCGCAGGTGCGCGGTGGGGAAGATAACTTTAGTCCTCTCGAATCGAAACAAGTCTCCCTCCATCTCCAGCCACTCCTTGAGCCCCTGCCCCGAGTCCCCAGACCCGTGCAGCATGACGATGGTGGAGTCGTGGCTCCCCCCGAGGGGAGGCGTGACTGTCCCGACGTCCAGCGGCTTCGAGCTCATGGCGACGCTGGTCAGACCCCGCGACTCTTTCAATCCGACGCAGGCTGAGAATGCTCGGCGTCAGGAAACACGCAAGAGGTGCGGGCAGAGGCAGGGGAGTTGAGGTATAAAAATTCAAGAGAGCATCAGAATGGAGCTCAGTGTCAGCCCTCCGTAAATGCTTCCGAAACCCTTACACCTCATCCTCTGCCCTAGGATCCTTGTTTCTCACATATAAGAAAGCATCTTCTTTCTGTCTTTCCTATGAAACATTGTAGAAGGTGAAAGACAGCAGGAGTTCTTCATCAACCTTTCTCACTATGCAGCTCCGAACCGATCCTGCCTCTGCTGCCTGCTCCCTCTCCAAACTCTCGCATCATTGACCAGGGCCCAGTCCTCCCACACCTATTGATCCTGCTCCTTGTACCTCTTCCCCCCTGCAGCCTTCCTCCC